GCTCGGGTAAGGATCTAAAAATTTTACTCACTAACTTAGACTTGGGGATTTCCTCTCCTAGGTTGAAGCTAGAGTTCACTATGTCGTTTAGGCTCCCGTAGAAGGCATCAAACGTCTCATCTTGTCTCATTCTAATCTCCTCAAGTCTAGTGGTCAATATTTGCAATTTCGAGTTCTTAACAGCATGAGTTCCCTCATGTGTGGTCTGTAGAATATCCCAAAATTCTTTAGCAACCTCACACATAGATACTCCCCTAAATTTTTCCGGGGATACTGCCATAAATAAGGCTTGTAAGACTTTACTGTTCCAGTTACATTCATCTAAGTTCGTTATAGTCTAATTAGTATTGGGAGTGGGGGTCACTACGTTTTCTACAGTTGTACTAGGGGCACTCCAACCATTCACCATACTCAACCAAATTCGTTCATCCATAGATTTTAAGAACGCTCTCATCCTAACTTTCCAATAGGCTTAGTTATTGCCAACAAAGTATGGTGAGATGAACAATGAACTACTCATCGAGACAAATTAAGGCCAGGAATCAAACTTAGGCTCTGATATTAATTGAGAATTTGTAGTTTACTAAGTTCGACCTTACGTGCGAAATTACGTTAATTAAAGTAACAAGTCACTTTTAGTTGGTTTCTAGATGATTAAGCATACAATTCAATTATCTTATGTTTGAATACCATAGTTTATAATATGGAAAGCAATAAAGAATGAACACCAAAATGATGACGGAGAAACCCAACTGGGTTAAAACTCCAGGACCAAGTCAGTTACCTCCACTATAAACAATATGAATTATAGTCAGTTTCCAACCTAGCAAATTCCACTAGTTCCCGCTGTTGTAATTCACATATTATCCAAGATCTGATATTCCTTCAGACTCATGATCTGCTACCGTAGATACTATATAGCCAACCTACTAGATTTCCCGATACCTCATGTAGCTTCCAAGATCCGCTGTAAATTCTAGACTCCCGATCTTCTTCAATTGTCTCTTCCAAGTGGATATCTAGAAATCACATATTCCTATTTTTCTCTTTGCACTTATAGTCCAACCTCTCTCTCAACCTCCAGAAACTTCTGAAGTCCAACTGAGAAAGTACATTCCTCAAAGTGTTAAGAAAGTTAGGTGTTTTGGATTCACGAACCTTGATATTTTCCCAAAACTTGGATATCGGATCTTAAGAATGATATGGATGAATTACCAAATAATTATGCTCTTGGATCTCTTAAAAAATGACGTGAAAATGTTTTTCAATTGAAGCACAATGAAGTAACCACACGGAATTCGTCCCAAACATCTGTATTTATAGTTGGGGGACGCTTAGGTGTTATGGGCAGTGTAAAAATCTTCGAAATCGCAAATTAGGTTTGGCAGCATAAACTTGTCGCTCGAGTGAGGGTGTTGTAGCTCGAGCGACAGCGAGGCGAAAGGCGGGCGATAATGTTTCTGTTTTCGACGGTTTTCTCTCGCTCGAGCCAANGATCTCTCAAAATATGATGTGGATGTGTTATACAATGAAAGCACAATAAAGCAACCACCTGGAATTTGTCTCGGACATTTGTATTTATAGTTGGGGACGCTTAGATGTTATGGGCCATGTAAAACTTTTCAAAATCGGGAATTAGGTTTAGCTGCATAAATACGTCGCTTTAGCGAGGGAGCCTGTCGCTCGAGCTAGAGAGATGTCACTCAAGCGACGCGAAGTGATAGGCGGGCGATAACGTCTCTGTTTGCGAGCAGTTAGCGAAATTTTGACACTGCATTTTCCTTGTTTTCAACCTCTAACCCTAACTTAACTCATCTATACAAAATTGCATCCAAGTCCTTAACTTTTTACAAGCATCAAATTAAGACTATATTGTTCACAAACATGCCAATTACAACATTGGACCTAATAGAAATGAACAAATGTTTATTCATATATGTGTGTGCGTGTGTCTATTTTAAAAAAATCAAATTTATTCTATCATTGAATAAACCGCCCCTCAAAGAATAAAATACAATTTAGCATATCTCAATTGGATTAACTAAATGTTTCCAACATCATTCTAGCATTCAGCTCTACAACAATGCAAAAAATAAACTTCAACATGATGTTCAGTAAGTATAGTGATGTACATGAACACTCGATCATTTTCGGCCCCAACCCCCTTTATTATCTACTACTGTATACTAAATTTCTGTACATTAGAGACAAATAACATATAACCATCACTCATGATCATATATAGCATCTTCACAGTATAGTTCATCATATATAACCACCAAACAAGATCATATGTGATACATGTGAACCATCACATACGTATAGGTCACGAATGCTTCGCACGGGATAATGGATGGTATATAAATACATATATGAGTACACTATATTGTTCTACAACTCAATGTATGGCATAATATTATGATGCATGCGATGATGTATGTATTCACAAATTTGTACTTTCGAGATCACCAAATCACCTGCCACACAATATCTAAACAACACATGTATCAAATAATATCACAAAGTATCAAGTAATTGATTTCACATAATAACAAGTAGCTTATGTAGATATGGACATATATGTTTTACATTGACGTTGAAGGATCGATACTTATTTTGTATAATTGTATTCGTGTTAGAACTTGCATAAATCAAGTGTTCGAGGGTCGGATATGACTGTGATACCTAGTGGAATCAACTTAGGGGGGTCAATCGAGGCTAAAACTACCAAAAAGGAATCACGAGACAATCGGGTAGTGGTGTCAATGGGTCGAGTCGAGCCGCTCGGACCATACTCGCACGAGCTCGGCTCAAGCCGAGCTAGCCCAAGACGAGCTAGCCCAAGACGAGCTGCTCGGTGAGCCGAGCTTAAGCTCGGCTTACCGGCTCGCCTGTATATATACTACAACTAAATCTTAAATTCAAAAAATATATATATGCACATTTTCTATTTTTCTTAAAATATACATTTTCCAAAACATTTATCGGGGCTCATCAAAACATTTATAATTTTTAAAATAGTAAATATACATTTTCTAAAATATTTTTATTTAAAAAAAGATAAATTTTTAT